ATCACTAGTCACTATCGGACTCTTCATGACTTGAATCTTTATTTACCCTAATGATCATTGGATACTGTCTCGATGATGGTTAAAACTGACTCGCTAAATTGCGGTGATTGGTTATTTTCACGTACTTGGCTTTTGATAGCAGTTAGTTAAAAACACAGTAATATGGGGGCAATCGTAAGACACTATGGCCGTGTGCTCCAAAGAGTTCATCGACTACATATTCCTCCGTTTTTGTTTCCTGACAAACTTTTATGATCATATAAATTTTGTATAATGAGGATATAAGTTAATAGTTGAGATTATCAAGAAAAATTTTATTTTCTTCTTTTTAGAGCGTTAAAAAAAAAGCTTTTTATGTGGAGAACATTGAAAACATAGTGCGGGTGAGTAAGAAGTAGATTGACAAACTAATTTCTCATTCCATAACGATATTTCAAGGTGAACGGTTTATATTGATTCTTCATTATTCGAGAAAAGACACACACACAGATGTATCTTCTATCATGGTCCTAAATTATTCAATCTCTTACCAGTAAACATAAGAAATATTAGCAACATCAATAAATTCAAACAAACAATCAAAAACTTCATTAGGCTCAATTATGAAAGGTTCAATATATTTAATTGAACCTGCATGCATGTGCATATGTGTGTATGTGAGGGAGGGTGTGTATGTGTACCAAAGTACTGGTCCTAAAATTTTAAAATTAGTTACAGGATGTTTAGCAAATTCTCATTGTTATCTCTTTCATTAGTTTTCTCTTTGGTGTAAATTGTGGGGTGACTTGGGTGTCATTTTTCGTTTTGCAAAAATCTCCTAATTCCGTTCATGTGTTAATCACGTAGGCAACTTTCGAATGCCTTTAGTGGGGGATGGAGAGCACAACACAAGCAAATGAATTGCTTAGGTGCATTCATCCCTCCACAGAGGGTTGTAAAGTGAACAATGTAATATGGAATGATTTTGTATAATATTACTGAGAATAAACTGAACTTGAAACCTCGCTTGAAACATTGATATGTAAAATTATTGAGTATTATAGGTATCAAAACTCCCAAAAGGAAACGGGTCGACAACTGGTAAAATAGGCATATATAGCTGAAGGCAACACCACAGTTTATAGTCTGTTCGTTAAGAAGGCACAGCATTGGAATGTGCTCATCATGGGCGTACCATTGATTCTTGCTTCGGCTTGAACTAAGGATATTTTAAAACCGTTTGTCGTTAAGATCATAGTCGGAAACTATTTGTCGGCTTGTCGGCATTTCTCCACAAACAGCGTGTAGCTTATGTTTCCTTATAATAATAAAGTATATCCAATATCAATTGCAGAATATCCCGCACTGTGCGGCGTCGGCGTGTTTGAAGTTTTCTTTGAAGTGACTGCAGGTGCGGCACAAGATTCTGCAATTGTTTTTGGATAAACTATAACTGTGTATGCACGAATTGTCTCCAGTCGCATTCGAAGTGTCGTTGAGGTAAGATTGCTGTCAACATGGAAGCTATTCCTGGTTGTTCTGGTGTTGTAAAACGTCCAAAATGTTCTGCCTTGAGTGTGAATGAAAAAACAATTGTACTTAATGTATATAATTCTCTGCGAAAAGATAAGTCGTACTTGGAGGTATCAGTAGATAATGTTATAACTATATGTTCTAATATGACAGGCGTGGGAAAAACAACAATTTATAAAATATTGAGAGAAAATAAACGAACAGGAACGTTGGCTGCTCCAATGAAGCATAGTGGAAGGAGGGAAATCAAGCTTGATGAATTTGAGACAAATGGCATTCGTCGTCATGTGCATTCTTTCTTTTTCAAAAATGAACTACCCACTTTGAAGAAAGTATTGGCCGCTATTCATCAAGATCCTGATTTACCCAATATCACCAAATGGACATTGTGGAGAACATTAAGAAAAATCAACTTCCGCTTTCTGAAAAGAAACCGTAAAAGCTTTCTCACTGACAAGGAAGAAATCATTGTTTGGCGCAGAAAGTATTTACGCAGTATAAAAGCTGCAAGAGAGAGCGGAAAACATATTTTCTATTTAGATGAGACCTGGCTGAATGAAGGCCACACTGTTCCGAAAGTTTGGCAGGATGGAGATATCCGCAGCAGAAGACAAGCGTTTTCAGAAGGATGGTCTACTGGTATCAAAAATCCATCTGGAAAAGGGCGTCGATTGATACTGACGCATATAGGAAGTGCTGATGGCTTCGTAGATGATGGACTCCTTCTATTTGAGTCCAAGACCACGAGGGACTACCATGAAGAGATGAACGCTAAGGTTTTCGAAGAATGGTTCGAAAAAATACTCAGTAAAGTTCCTGAAAATGCAGTCATCGTTCTTGATAATGCTTCTTATCACAGTCGACGACTCGAACGTTTACCAACGACATCTTGGCGGAAAGGAGAAATTGCAGCATGGTTGGACAGCAAAAGTATTCCATTCAACAGAGATTCATTGAAATCGGAGCTCTTGTCACTTGCAAAACAACATAAAGTCAAACATTTGAAATATGCTGTGGATGAAATGGCTTTTGCTCGTGGCGTAACAGTATTACGATTGCCGCCCTATCATTGCGAGTTGAACCCCATTGAGTTGATCTGGGCCCAAGTGAAGGGATATGTTGCCCGTAATAATGTGACTTTCAAATTGAAAGATGTGAAGAATTTATTAGTGGAAGCTATATCGGCCGTTGATGCAACATTGTGGAAAAATTGCATCAAACACACGACAGAAGAAGAGCGTCGCATGTGGGAACTTGATAATCACATTGAGGTGACAGTTGAACCAATTGTTATTGATGTGAACCTAAGTGATTCTGACAGTTCTTCTGATCTCTATACAGACTCAGAGTCATCTTCTTGATCTGTGCGGTGCTGAACAGTTTTGCTAACATTCTTTATTTTTCAAATTTGTTTTTATTTTTCAATGTACATAATGGCTACTGGCTGCACTCAGGAATAACACGCATTTAATCGATCCATGGTGAGTCTCATTATTATTTCATATTATTATATTATTTTGAATTAGTAGTCCATGCTCAAATTGGAGTTAATTATATACAAAGGAACAGAAACGCCGTAAGTCTCACTTCAATCTTTTATCAATAAATATAACAATCATAGCGACATGCTTCGACTTCCGGGGATCATCAGGTTAGGAAAGAGAGATCTTAAAAAAAAATAGTTACTTCAACAAAAAAAACTTTACCAAGAGGAACAGTGAGTTATAACACCTCAATTTGAATTTTGGTTTTTTGTAAATCCGGAAAAAATTTCAATATCCTTATTGAGCTTCATGTTGGAATGTTTTGTTTCTCACAATGAGGTATTATTTGTGATAATTGAAAAGCAAACTCATGCCTCAAGAGAATATGTACAGTCATTTCCAGGCTTGATTTTTTTTCAATAATAATATGTATGTGATCATCCTATTTCATTCTATACATTTCGGTTATCTAGATTACTATAGTCTGAAAATGTGTGTGTTCGACCGATTATTTTGATATTGTTTCAACCTATTCCATTATCTTCAATAATAGGGTTGATCCCATGTTATAATATCTCCCCTACGCTCATGGTTGCAGGAAAGAACTGGGAGGGACCATCATTTTCTTTGACTTTGATAGCGCGGCCGAACGCGGCACGTTTGTCGGCGAGGGGTCGGCGAAGCCGCTCGTATGTCGGCTATTCTGGGCTCACCGTTGGCCGTACCACCGTTGTTTAGAAGCGGCATTATCAATTTCATTCAGGAAAAGTTATAGGTATAATTCGCAAAATGTCAACGCCGCTCTAGTGGTTACTCTGGTAGTTTTCTCTTTGAAAATTTGCGACAAAATTCCATTACCACATTCCATTACTTCGCCTTCTAAACGAACAGACTATAGAATATATTTAATATTCTCTCAACTGTGGCAACACACTTGAACACACTGTATCGCATCGGCAGGCGGTTACCGACAAGGCGACAAGACAAAACCCAGTGAGCGGCGAGCAGGCGGCTAGACCGCTCAACATTAGTAGAAAAATGAACGAGTGAGCAGCAGTCTCTTTGGTTGAGACAAAAAATCACGAATCATTTCGGCAAAAATATCGCCGCGCGCCGCCGGCCCTTTTGATCTTTTATAAGGGGCCGACGCCGCGCGACATAAGTATTTCGATGAAGCTGGTCTCAACTGACTTTGTAAAGAATATACCTACATAATGTTGTTTTTGATACTTTCAAATATGTTTCAGAGACGACACAATCATAGAACAATCCCAAGATCCTGCATTTTTCTAAAACTTAAACTTTAATAATCTTATATTAGTAAAAATTTATCCTATTTAGTTTTCCCAACAACTTTACATTATTCCGAGATTGTTCAATTTCGTTTGAAGGTTTGAATAGGTTTTTTCAATTATTCTGAAAAAAGTGTAAAACTTTGAGGTGAGTAGGTATATTGAAATCACGTAATACCAGCGGCAGCGGTGAGTACAAAAGCAGAGCCGGCGGCGGCGAGTACAAAAGCAAAGGCGGCGGCGGCATTTTTAACAACACGGGCGCGGCAGCGGCGAGTTCAACAGCAAAGGCGGCGGCGGTGGCGAGTTTAAAAGCAAAGGCGGCGGTGGAGGGCAGCGCCAACTCGCCGAGTTTCGAATTCGTCGGCGGCGGCGAGTTCAATAGCAAAGGCATTTTCAAAATTGGACAACGAAAAGCGGTAAAATACTATCCAGAAGAGGAGCAAGTGCTCCAGGAAAAGACAGCCGACAGAGGGTTGCCGCCCTATTGCGGCCGCTCTCTGATAGATGAAATTGAGACTCTAAGAAAATTCTTAGAAGTGTTTTTCTAATCAAGCAAAACCCCTTCCACATTTTCCTGTAGTATATAATATACCCCCATTTTCCATTTGTTCCAATCGCTCTTGTATCGTTATTTAGTAAGCAGTATTTAAAATACGACTAAGTGAGTACCTAAGTGTCTTTCTCGAAGTGTCATTATAAACATTTCATGATGAACGATTTTGAATATGTGCGTCCAGGGCGGCCAGCGAATGTGGACAAATGTGTGATTCGTGATATCCTTCTTCAACATAAGGATCAAATTATCGTGGATAGAAAAATTGTTCCTAAAAAATATCCTGTTTGGAGTGTTTTATCAAGAAAATTAGATTCCAAAATCTCAGCAATATCTCTGTATGTTATGGCATTCAAGGAGAAAGAAAATTTGCTCAGTGAAATCGATGGGAACAGCAGTACTTCCCTTCACGATAATAGTGCAGGGGATAGTGAAGAATCTCTGCAAACAAGCTTAAACACCTCGGAACTTTCATCCGAAGAACTGTTTTGCTTAGAAGTTCCTGCAGAAGACTTCGAAAATCTCTTGGAGACCAGAAAATCCGTTAGAAGAGATAATCTCAGGGGAAAACGGTTCACCAGAACAAATATAAAATTAAAGAAGGGAATATGGCAATTCTGGATAACAAACGAACTTTGGTTACATTTTAAAGTCAAATGTGGCTTCAACTATGAATATAACTATGTTACATCCGATACAACACATGCAAAAATAAAGGGTAAGTTTTTTTTTTATATTTATTGTAACATTTATCATTTGGGTTGGCACTATTGTAGACATGTTTAATCTATGTCATGATTTTATTATTTGGGGCTATTATTTGGTAAATGAAATAATTTTTAATAAGGCGATTTAATGTGCGTTTTCTAGAGTGAAATTAACAACAGATTTGGATGCCATTTATATAATTGAAATGCATATACCGTGTGAAATATCTAATTAGAAGCTCGTGCCTCACGACCTTTTACTCACTTTTTCAACTTCTCGCGAATGCGAAAAAGGGGCGCTTTTCGAGTGTTCATACTTACATGATCTTTTTCCTAAATATAAAAATAATTATTCTCTTCGTAATTCACAAAGTGTGGATATACCTATAAGAACATCCATAACCAACATATTATAGATAAAAAGATAAATACCGATAAAAACAAACCTTACAAATACACATATACCGGGTGAGTCATTGAAATGGGAAAGTGAGATAAGGGCTTCGCTGTTTAAGATAGATGGATAAAAAATCTTGTGATGGTCTCGGCTCATCAGCAGCACATTTCTAAAATATTTTGCGTTATACAGGGTGACTCAAAAATGCGTGGCGTATCAAAGATATACTTTTTCTAATGGGACACCCTGTATTTCATTGCATTTTCGGATTCTCCTTTGTGAGCTGATTTCATCAATGCATCACACTCGGGGTCTAGAAGGAATGATTACAAAGATATAGAGTGTTCGAAATCGAGATTTTTCAACTTTAGGATTTTTTCGTGTCGAAACTATTCATTATTGATTGAAAAGGCTCACATGTCCCTGTCTTAACTTTCGATTCACTTTCAATGATATTTAATCTGAACGAATACAGGGTATAGATAATTCTGAATTTCGAACCAACCTGTATTCGTTCAAATTAAATATCGGTAGATAGAAAATCAGAAGTTGAGATAGGGACATGTGGGCCGTTTTGACCGATAATGTATAGTTTCGACACAAAAAAATCCCAAAGTTGTAAAAATCACGATTTTGAACACACCATATCTCTGTAATCATACCCTCTGCACCCCAAGTGTGTTACATTGATGGAATCTGCTCACAAAAGAGAATCCGAAAAAGCAATCAAATACAGGGTGTCCCATTAGAAAAAGTATAACTTTGATACGCCACGCATTTTTGAGTCGTAAAACAAAAAATATTTTAGAATTGTGCTGCTGATGAGCCTAGATCATCACAGGATTGTTTATCGATCTATCCCAAACAGCGGAGCCCTTATCTCACTTTTTCCATTTCAATGACTCGCCCACCATGCCTATTCATGATTATTGATACCAGTCCAAAGGAGCCTGCACTTCTCCCGACTTTTTCTATATAAAAATGGCGTCCTGTCGAATTTCACGAATTTCTGGTATATATTACAGTATACAGTAAATGACGCAATTTTATATAGGAAAGGTAAGAATGGCACGATTAATAGCCGAAATTTAAATGGGAGGCCGTTTAAAATGAGACACACTGTATTTTTATCCTGATTTCAGAAATATATTGGTTAGGTCGATAATTTATTTTATATACAAATATTAAATACACACACTGGCACTATTAAGGGAACGGGTAAAATTTACACTAAGTTTGACATCAATTTTCTCTCGAACCGATCACCCGATTCAAATTCGTTTTTCACGAAATGTAGCTTCATTCTTCATGAATACATCCGAGCAATAACCACCCCCAAACGATTCGTCTTTATATCATATACAGGGGTGTAAAGAAAGTACGGAGACATCCAGTGGAGTGAACCACTGATAATTGGAACGATTTTTCAACACCAAATTATAGCCCAATCTATCCCAAATATTTTCGTTTTTTATTCATCTTGATATCCCAATTATCCAAGAAGATATAGAGTTTCAAAGAAATGGTGGATATTGGTATTAATTTTACCACCTCGAAACTCGAACTGGGGAGAACGTGTCGTTTTTCAACTTGTGTCTGTGAGGATTTTTACTTCAAGATGAGAATTGTTCACAGTTTTACCTATCGGTTTACTGTTTAAAGACACATATACGAATACTCTCATGAATATGCAGGGGTGATAAAAGTTGCTCCAATGTTCTTTTGGTGAAATGCTATTTTTGTTAATCAACGTTGGCTATTTTGTCATTAATTATTGTTTAAGTCAAGCGATTCACAATTCATAAATTTGATTAATGAAAATTCAACGTGAGAGATTTGACTCCTACTGATGTGGCGAGGGCTGTATCATCAATTGAAAATGACCAGTGGGCCAATGTTCTTTTAACATATGAAAGCCGCATCTGCACCAATTCAATAGATGGCAGGGAAAGACTATATCGCCGAGGTGAACAAAATGAACAATTTGATTCTACTGCTTCTGTCTCCTATGGCAGAGGTTTAGTCATGGTTAGGTTAGTCAAGAAACGACACATCCACATACAATTTGAGTTTTGAGGTGTAAAATTGATACCAATATCCACCATTCCTTTGAAACTCTGTATTTTCCGTACTTTCTTTACACCCCTGTATATGATGGAAAGACTCATCGTCTGAAGGTAATTATTTCTCAGATGTATTTGTGAAGAATGAAGCTACATTTCGTGAAGAAAATATTTGAATCGAGCGATCGGTTCGAAAGATAATTGATGTCAAACTTAGTGTAAATTTTGCCCGTTCCCCTAATTGTGCCAGTGTGTGTAGTTTTGCAAGGCTTTAAACCGAAAATACGAATATCAGATATCTTTTTTTTTTTTTTTCAGTTGTATACGAGGTATGTCTGAAAATGTTAATTTTGTTCAAGTGTAAAGTAGGTATAGTTTAAATACTGTCTGTAGGTTAATCGAGGAGGTGGTACATTCATTTTACTTGGTTCTTTGGGATTTTCTCTCCTCGTTTCTATAAAATAAAAGTATTCGTATTATTTCAATATATTTGTAGAGGGACAAATCAGATGATTTGCCCCAAAATGTCACTGCGTTTAACAAATTTCTCTATCAGGTAATCTAAAAGAAAAATCCAGTAGCTTGTCAGTGACAATTTGTTTGAAAAAATTTTTGAAGGAAAGAAATATAGATATATTGAAAAAATATCGAATTTGTACTTATCTTTGGACGTTTCGGGACCGATTCTGCTCCCGTTCTCAACATGTAAATGCAAATTATTTTTCTTTGAAAGTTGTGCTGCGTATAGAAAAATAATTTGCATTTACATGTTGAGAACGGGAGCAGAATCGGTCCCGAAACGTCCAAAGATAAGTACAAATTCGATATTTTTTCAATATATCTATATTTCTTTCCTTCAAAAATTTTTTCAAACAAATTGTCACTGACAAGCTACTGGATTTTTCTTTTAGATTACCTGATAGAGAAATTTGTTAAACGCAGTGACATTTTGGGGCAAATCATCTGATTTGTCCCTCTACAAATATATTGAAATAATACGAATACTTTTATTTTATAGAAACGAGGAGAGAAAATCCCAAAGAACCAAGTAAAATGAATGTAGGTATAGTTTATCCAAAAACAATTGCAGAATCTTGTGCCGCACCTGCAGTCACTTCAAAGGAAACTTCAGACACGCCGAAGCGGCACAGTGCGAGGTATTTTACAATTGAAAATGGATATACTTTACCTACTTTCTTTTTTCGAGAATATCGAAAATCATTATTGATAAATAGAGAATAGTCCGACTAAAATTATAGAATTTTGGGTTTTAGACCTCGCAGAATTTTTTATGGAAAATGACTTTCTCCTGAAATTGATATTGAAAAAGTGTTTTATTAGTTGCCAACTTTTTCAGACATACCTACCATATATCCTTTATATAATTTGCTAAAATGGTTCGGAATAAAATTGATAAGGTGTCCAATTTGAAAGAAATGAGGTACCCTGTCATATAGTGTGTCCACCTCAAGGACTCACCACCCCTGTTGAAGTGTTATTAATTATCTGATCGATTTCGAAAAACTTCTATTGTTTGATCAATGGCCAACTGCGACCAATTTTATTGATCCATATTTCAGAAAGTACAATTAGGGATTTATTTCAAGAAAAATAATGATGGATTCTAAATCAGGATCAGTTGAAACATACCAGTACTGATTTTCATAATCAAACACAGGGTGTCTGAAAGATCAAATTATTTTTTTTTTAATTGAATATGAAATATTGTCTACTTATTCTTTTAAAAATTTTTTCTTATACACATCCTATATTTCAATGATAAAAATCGGTACAGATATGTTCGAAATAGTCCTCAATAATACTGTCTCATCAATTCTTTCCAAAAATACGACAGTACAAATTTATTAATTCGTTTTTTCGGACATACTCTATGTTTAATGATGAATGATGATGAAAATTGGTACAGTGAAGTCATCTTGAAAAATATTGCTTACTTATCCTTTTTAATTTTTTTTTCTCAGACATATATTGTATATTCGAATGCTAAAAATTTTCACAGATTCGTTTGAAGTAATCCTCAATAATGATGTGTCATCATTTCGTCCCAAAAATAACACAATACTACATTTTCTGATCACCTATTAAAACAAAAATTGCTTTTTTGGATACCCTGCGTTTCAAGATGATGAAAATCGGTACAGGAATATTTCAAGTCATCGTGATTCAGAATCTATTATTATTTTTTGTGAAAAATAAGCCCTAATAGTCCAAGAATGAAATCACTCTCTTGTTGGATGAACATTTAAAATACCTATCCAAGTATCCAACAAAAGAAAGTTTTTTGAAATCAGTCAGATACTAACGATTTTACAGGTGTGGTGAGTCCTTAAGGTGGACACATTATAATAAATGTCCAGACACGCTGATGTATATGGCCGTAGGTAAATTGTAGTTAATAATGCGTGTTGTGATCCAATTACGCAATATGCTTCTTATTATAACAATAATTATCCCTCGTCGCTTCGCGACTCGTGATAATTCTCAAAAAATTTCCGGCGATTATTCATTCTCTAGGGAGATTATAGTTGATAATTTTCTGATCTTCATATAATGTGAGATATTCTCAATATCGATCCGTTTTTTTTTCCTGTCACAGAAAAAAATAGTGTATTATACACGGTAGAGATATTAGATTTTAGCTCACGGTTTTTTGTCTGCCTCCGCTACTCGACGGGAGACAATAAGACAATCTCGAGCTAAAATCTACAACATTTTTCCCTTGTATAATAAATAACTATTTTTACTGCAACAAAGAATTCCCAGTAATTAGATATTAATGGTGCTCAGTTCCAAATGAATAATATACTCTATTGAGTTTCATGATTTTTTTCATATTCATAATGTTTCTCATTCTATTCTGCAGGTCACTGTGATTGTGGGAATATAATAAATGTTGATCTCATGAAACAATCCGATGATAAAGTGAGAATCGAATGTAGAATTACAAACATCTTCAAAGTTAAAGGTATATGTGGAAAGAGATACCTCAGGGAACCATTAAGAACGAAGATGGTAGAAAAATTGAAAATAAAATCAACGGTTGTATTTCGATCTGAAGAGGCTAATAAGTTGATGGAAGAAGGAGATGTGGAACCTCCTCATCTATATAGAGCTGAGGTCTTATCAACAGCCAAAAATCAAATTATATCCAAGACGTATCTATCCAAGAACCCCATAACTGCTCTGCATTTCCTAAAAGTTGGCTCGTTACAAGGATCGATACATAATATAGGCTTGGATCCTTTTTTTGTACATTTCTGGTCAATCCACCAACAACACATATACAGATCTTGTATGAAGAATGATCACTGTGCAATTTCAATAGACGCCACGGGAAGCATAATAAAAAAAAATAAAAAACCTGATGGATCCCAAAGTAACAACATATTTTTATACAATGCTGTCATGTATACTCGAAATAAACAAATTCCAATTTTCCATATGCTTACAGAAAAGCATAATACCAACATGATATCCTATTGGCTGGGGGAATGGTTGAGATCAGGTAATCCTCTTCCTGTTGAAGTCATATGTGATTCATCTATAGCACTGTTGACTGCATGTACACGAGTTTTCACTGGTTTTTTGACGATTTCTGATTACGTTGATGCTTTGTGCACAAGGCATATTGCTTGTTACATCAGAATAGACGTAGCTCATTTCATTAAAATGTATGCAGTTTTTTTGAAAACATGTAATAAGTCCGTTAAATCTTTATACTTGGGAATAATTGGTCAAATAATTATGTGTAAAGATGAAAACATGGCAAAAACAATTATATTTCATCTGTTACTGATATCGAAGAGTAAAAGGTGTGGGAATCTGCCATCCGGTGAAATTTCTAGATGTTCGACCAGTAAAAAATATTTGAAATCATTATTGGATCCCAATACTGCCTACGATACTGCATACGATATGGAAGAAACTGGAGATATCGATAGTGGAGATATTGATACTGAAAGTATTCTCTTCAATGACAATGAAGAAGTTGAAAATATTTGGCTTCGTTGGGGTTCACAAATTGATGAAGAAGTCAAAAACGTCGTCAACCAGGAAAATGCAGATGATGATAATGCTCATTTTCTCCCACAATTTTCTGAAAAGTTATTGAAAAGTTTGCGATGGTTTCCATTGTGGTCCAACATTTATCACAGCAAATTCAAATCTGCAAGAGTTCCAGCTTCCAGTGCTCCGGTAGAGGGAGAGTTCAACATTGTAAAGAATCATGTTTTCAAAATGTTTCCGAAGCCTATCCGACCCGATGTGTTTGTAGAAAAATATTCGGAATACATGAAAGGGAAATGTAAAATTATAGATGCTGAACTTACAGAAATAATGGATGTGGATGTAGTGACTGGAGAATATGATCCAGATGAAACATCGGGGAGGACTTTTGAAGCTATAAAAGCGATCCAGGAAGTAGAAGATTGGGGTGGATTGGCGACAGCAGTCAAAAGTCGTGGTTCAAGATACCTTACCAAGAATTACGATCTATTTCAGGCTACAAATGAAAACAAAAAATTACAGAAAATTCCAATTATGAAGAATGGTAATATATCGAGCTTACAAGTAAGTATTTATATGAACAATTGAATAAATCAGCTAATTTTTTTTCTACTGATTCAAGTATTAACAATATGAATAAATAATTTAGTATTTCGTGGGGATTTTCCAGTTAACATCTCCGATGATTATTATTTAATTAATAAGGACTTTTGTGTTGATTTGTAAAATAATTCCATTTTTCAGTAGTAATAATCCAGTTGTCAAAGGTGAGTCAAGCACAGGGGGCGACGTAGAAGTTTTTTTTTTTATTCATCGTTATACATATCTCAAGAAACGGTAGGTCACAGCAAAATTGCGATTTTCAAAAATTAATATGAATCTATAGCGAATATCTCGAAAACAAAGAAAGATATGGGAAAAACCCATTGATACAATTTGATGGACAATTTTATCAGCTATAATTTTGAATGAATTGATTTTTTTGCTGTGACGAACCGTTTTCGAGATATGAACTATACATCTAAAAGAGGGAACGTAGCCCCCTGTACTTCGCTCACCTTTTAAGCTCGGGGACTTGTTGGAATTTTTACTTCCTATATACCCCGAACAGATTCCTATTGAAAAAAAAACGGTCCCCTTTCATGACCTCTACAACCCGTTCATTGACTGAACCATCAGTAGATATAGGTACATATTTTGGGTGTATGCTTTCATTTGCTAGCCCAGGGGGGAATGCACTCTCCCTGCGCCCTGCCCCTGGATTCACCATTGTCGTACAATCATATTTATGAAAAGTCGAAGTATTATTGAAAGTGTATTCAACAGAAATCGAAGACTATATTCCTGGATAATGCTACCCATTAAAGGCTATTGAACTAAATCTGAACACCCAGTATTAACAATCTGAGGATGAATGATCAATCTGTGGATAAAATATCATCTGATATTGAGAATTTGCTTTCTCATTCATATTCCGCTGATGTTGATGGATGATTCAACATTTTTTAAATTGAAATAAGTAGATTTAAGGAATCGATATATGAATTCAGATGGAATTTTATTTTCGAGCTCACCCAAAGAAATAAGCCATCATTATAATATCGAGTTATATGGATCCTTGAAGTATCAATCAATGAAATTATTTCATCCTGTATATAATATTTCAAAATATTTCAGGCAATAAAATTCAAGAAAGAAGAATTCTCTTTTGGCAATACGTGTGCTTTTGATAGTTTATTGCAGATTTTCCTAGTAGGAGTTTTTGACCACCCACAACTTAGAGAAGTATTGCTAAGATTACAAAAAGATATGAAATTTGCCGAGCTGGTTCTATACATTTCGAACAATGGAATCAACCAACATGCATACAGGTTGAGAGGTGAAATATTGAAGGAGATTTATAAAGAATCGACAAATGTTCTCCTGGAAAATCATTATTTGGTTAACTGCGAATCAAATATAATCACCGTTGTAACAAATATATTTGGAAATCTTCCAAGCATCCAGGAAGCGTCAACATGTGATCAAGGCTGTCCTATAAGGAACAAAAACTTGAGGTTTATATGTATAGAGCCGTTACTTCTTGGATCATATCCATTCAACACCCCATTGTCGGAGTGCAAATTAAACCGGGAAAATACGGAGAAGCACCACTCGTTGAGTTGGACGATTGTAAGGTGTTTCTACCACAAGCTCAGGAGAAGTTATCGATTCAATTGTGATGCTGCTCCTTAGAGACTGGTTGCTCGTGGAACTTGAGGGTCTGGTGGAAGTTGAGGGCCTTTCCAAATTTTCCAACAGAGGTTCTCTGCTGGCATGTCTTTTTGTTGTGCTTGTATATGTTCTATAACAATAAATTAATCAATAATAAGAAAATAATACTATATGTAGGCAAACCTACTTTCTTGGCTTTGTTAATGTGCTATAAAATAACATAGCCTGAAAATATGGCCAATCAGTTTCACTGGCTCCTGAACCTGAAGGCCTCCTATTTTTTCCTTAACAAATCTGTCCCTCAAATTTTTCCATGCTCTCATGCAGTCTTCAACTGAAACATAGAAAAAAACATATTCAAGATACAATAAAAAATAAATCATTATTCAGTTAAATTTGTAGAATATTATGTATAATAACCATTGCAATTCAGCATTCCACTGATTTGTTGCCATGCCTGGTACTTCTTCTTTGTATCCTTATATAGTTTATGACTTAAATCATAAAGATAAGGATAGCTCTGAATGGCCTCTATCAAGAGTCCATATTCTATTCCTACTGCAGATATCTGGACTTGGTCTTCTAGAAATTATATGGGAAATTATTATAATATACTATATATATTTATAATATACATAAACTTTTGTGAAATTTGTATGTTCCTTACCAATGGTCTCCTGGCTCTCTCTATTCTCTATATCAGACTCTTGGGAAAACTCCATAATGCAAAAAACTCGCAGATCGCTTGTAAACACAGTTCTATTTTATAATAAAATACACTCACTGAGGTAGAATATAAAATGAATATTATCATTGAAATAACTCATTTTATACCATCTGCAATCTAAGTAGATTAGAAACTCATTATATCCTCATGAGAGTAGGTAGCAACAAGGGTAGCAGGTAGGTAATCGGATTATCACATAAGGGAAATTCCTTGAACTTTAATGAGGGAACAATATCACTATCCCAAATCTCAAATAACATGACCATCTTGACCATTTTCATTTATTTTTTCAAATGAAAAATATAAACAAGATATGAAACATCAAAATAATGTCAAGATTGTCAAGTGACAAGAATGACAGCTGAAAATGTATTTGATTGGCTATCACGACCTGCTACGAACGGCGAACGGCAAAAGATAAAATTGGTTTATGTTGAACGGCACCGACGGCAGGCTGAACGGCAGACGGCATCGGCCGACGGCGTTTATGAATGCTCTTAAGGTATGGTTTCCTTCACGCCGTCAGCGGCTGCCGTTGGAAGCATGCCGCTGAAGGTTGCCGCTGACGGTTTGATTGGCTAGTTTCCCCTACACCGTCAACAGTATATATTTTATCTAGTTTTTAATGTCAACGTCCATGGATGGTTGTATTGTGTCGCCGGGGAGCAAAATGAGGAATGATCAGAAAAGAAAGGCTATTTGTCTCGTTTTGCTACAAGAAGAGGAGGAAGATGATGAAGTGCTTGTGAATGAATTAACTGGAAAAAGAAAACCTCACCATGACTTGTTTGAAAACCGCGAAACAGAAGGATTTTTCAACATATTAATCAATAGGAGACTGACAAGTGATGAAGTTAAATTTCGACAATTTTTTCGGTTAAATCGCGAACAGTTTTCTTTCGTAACTAGTCTGATTGGAGAAGATCTCAGAAAGGAGGCGACTTATGTTGTTAAAAATCCTATCACACCAGAAGAGAAACTTGCAGTTACTCTGAGGTAAGTATTGAATAACTAATTATTTATTCAAGTTTTATATTGCTGTGAATGAAAAATGTCTGAAACTCCAAAAAAAAAATATACCTAATTCGATTTTTTTATAGTAAAAACTGCAAATTCACCATTAACACAAAATACAAATGGGACTTTTCAAAAACAAAAACTGTATCATTCTTTTTCTGTAGTAAATATAAGCAGTGATGAACTGAACATGTGAAAATAAAAAACTAGTAGAGGCACCGCAAAACTCTATCAGAAAATTCTGTGGAATCGTCATCAGGCTGAAGTGATGGTTGTGGCGGTGTACTCTGTGGTTGTTGTACTGCATAATTAGGCGGTAGTATTGTAATGTATTGTGGATTTTGTACATTACTAGAAGGAACCGTCACAGAGGCATGATTCTGCTGAACAGGAGCTTCTGGAGGAAATTGTATTTCTGTAATGAGTGCTAAAATTCGCATTTTTACGTCTGCAATTTGTCTTGGTGATAGCTTTTTCACTGTGGCCGCAACACTTTTCATAAACATATCTACGTCATCTTCATCGTTTGAACATATCTCTTGGAGAATTTTTGTTCTTTCCGCAGCCCGTTTTTCTAATGTTGCTAGCACAATGTTTTGTGTTCGCCTTTTTTTAGAAGTGCTTGGCGCAGAAGATTCACCTGCCTCATCGTTTTCATTTCTTTCAGACATAGAAGCAGTCTTGTTGCATGAAGAACGAACACTGGTAGTTTCTCTTTCTGATTCATGGCCATAACTATGAGGATCATCTTTTACTTGCTATGGTTGACGCAAACTACAGATTCTTAGCTGTTGATGTAGGCTCGTATGGCAAGGAAGGAGACAGTGGTATCTTTGCAAAATCCAACTTGGGAAAACAAGTTTACTCCGGAGATTTGTTCCCACCGGATGAAGATCTGGCAGGTTTGAATGAAACGATGCCCTACGTGGTTGTTGGGGATGAAGCATTTCGTCTTCATAAACATTTGATGAAGCCTTATACAAAAGAAACTGCACATACAGATGAAGCAAAGGCGATATATAATTATAGGCTTTGCAGGGCCAGAAGAGTAACAGAAAATGCATTTGGAATTCTTTCCCAAACGTTTAGAGTATTTTTTACTCCAATTGCAATAAATCCGGAAACATGTGATAAACTGATACTTGCTGCTTGTTGTTTCCACAATTTATTAAGAAATTCTTATTTAGAAGAAAATGGGAAACCGTATTACACGTACGATCCAAATGAAGATTCACCAGGTGGTTTGGCATCTTTCACAAGAATAGGCGGATTCGCAAATCAAGAAGGACTTGAAATCAGGGACAAGTTCACAACTTTCTTCAATCAAATTGGAGTATTAGATTGGCAGAATAAATATGTAACTCGTTTGTCAACCACATAAATTGTATGTAAATAAGTAAATGAACATTTGTTGTGTAAATGAAAATAACTAATTAATAATTGTACTAACCTGATCTCCCAACAATCTCTGAAATCGCCTTCCACACATTTGATTTCATTTGCAAATTTTTATAATCCTTGTTCTCACTATTATATATGCAAGGATGTGAAGCCATTGCATGAACTAAATTTTCATCTTCGCGTGCCGAAAATCTCAGTCCGGTAGACATTTTATTGGTCGAAAATAATACAAGTTGAAACACGCTGCGGCGACTTTGCGATGCGTTCTGACTCCTCGACCAGCAGTGCAACCGCAGACGCACGCTGTCGGCGGTCGCTTCTAGCGAACGCGCTGCGTCGGGGAAACCGCTTGTACGTATTTTCAATTCAAGTAGTGGATGCGTTTGGCGGCATGCTTCCAACGGCAGCCGCTGACGGCGTGAAGGAAACCATACCTTTGCATTTCAGTATATTGAAGTGCGAACGGAACGGCGAACGCAGACGGCAACGGCAACGGCGAACGGAACGTCAAGTTTATGAATGAACCTTTATATACTAATCTATCTATATTAATCTCATTGTTCATATTTTTGTCATTTATATTCAGTAAATATGGAATGATAATTATTACTTCTGAGTTTCATTTTGTATTAAATCATATTGGATTTGAAATGAAATAATACCTCAATAATTGCAATCTTTTACTAAAATTCAAAACATGTTACATTTCACCAAAAAATTATTATTAAACATACAATACAAAACTAATCCTCTAACAAAAGAACGATTTTTTTTCGTAGTTCTTTGGCTTCTGCTTCACTTTTTTTGTTCAGAGTATCTACCACATATATTTTCCAAAGGAGGTATTCGAATTGGTTACTTCAGCTCCGAGAGTTGACATAATGGTCTTGGCAATATTGATCATTTCTTTGATATCTTCATCCTTTTTGGACGTCTTCGGAGTACCTGAGAGGAGAAAAAAAAATTAGCATGGAATGATAACTGTTGTGTTCGTAGTATGTAAGAAGAGGAATAATGAGACTTAGAAGTTGTTCTCCAATCCTCCCGATATATTGGAACTTGTAATAACTTTACTGTACATTGTACTCGTACATGTGGTTGTCGTTCCCACTTCCCTACATAGGTTAAGAAGGTTAGAAGTGTCAAGTCCTTGTGAATCCTAACCGCTATGTCTCTATTCCCGCTAGTCGGTAATGAGTGTCTATGATACAGAACTCGTGAACGTAACACTCTCCTCTTCGTGGGAAATTTGAATACATTACTTATCACTCAATATGATTATGAGAATGAACATACTTACAACTCTTACAAATAAAGATTCAACTTCATTGGGGGTCTAACCTTGCGCTTTGATCTTCGCAGAACAGACGAGTCATCTGAGCAGGAAGGCATCACAGGATCATGAGAAATGCTTAGTGAAGGTGGTAAGTCATGCAAGTCATCAGGTAAGTCAACTTGTATTTCACTCTGATGATCTGTTGGTTTGAATTGTTCATTTGTTAATAATGGATTTTTTTTTCCAGGTTGACTACTAGTGATCATTTTTTTTTGTTGAAAACTAGAACTGTCTCTCCCTCTCTCAGTCTCGCTCGCAATATCTGGTATGTGTCTGGTTCTGCATAAGTCTTCTGGTAAATGAATTTCTTTTCTGGTTAATACCGGTGTATTTTCCCCGATGGACCTAATTTGGTCTATGTGTCTTCTCCACACTCTACCATCATCTAATTTTATACAGTAATGTAGGGTCCCTAGTCTCTCTTCAATTCGACCAAATTCCCTTTTATCCCCATGTATATAATCCCTGACTTCAACTCTGTCTCCCACCTGTAATTCTCTTATCCTAATAAAAGTTGAATCTGGTCT